AGGACTTTAGTGAACTCGATGGGTTTTTACTGACGTTCGACAATAGTTTCATGATCATCAGTAGATTCTTAATTGCAGACTTTTTTGATTGAATTCAAATTCCACTAAATTCAAACCCAGGTCCCCAGACCATTAGCCAAGTTTCACGATTAATAGTCAAGCAATAATCTTATTAGGCCATTGTCTCCCCATGCGCAGTGTAAGGATCAAGTATTTCTCCTGGTGCTTGTTATTCGCGCTTATGTTATTCTGTTATGCTCCTTGTTGAATTAACGCTGCTTGTCCTCTCAGCCACTAATAATTCTAACCACGCATTCATATCCATTACATGCACAGGTGTAGTGTCAGGGTTCTGTACTTAATGCTTGTGGGGTTGCATGCTTGATGCTACTTTGTTTTTATTAATTACCCATGAACGGCTCTAGCAATATTTCCTTTTAGAGTCGAACTATCCTTTACAGAGATTATCATGGAGAATGAGGAAATGACTTTGAATGATTGTTTTGTTTGTCTTCACAATACAACACACAGGTTAGATATCAGGAATCAAGTTTTGCCTCAACACTAACAGCTGCGAAATTTAAGGTAATATAAGCAGATTTTAAAAATCTCAAAGGCCTAAAATTAGACAAATCCCTAGAATCTGATGGTCCACAACCTGAAATTCTGAAAGTGATAGCTGAAGCAAAAATGCGTACTCCTAGGTATGAATTTAGAAAATTCCCTTTATTCTAGAAAAGTCTGAGCAGATTGGAAGTTAACAAATGTAACACTGCTATTCAGGAAAGGAGGGAGAGAATAAATTGAACTACAGGCCAGTTATCTTGACTCACATGGGGAAAGTGCTGGAATCAATTATTAATGAATTCTTAATTTACTTGATCTAATTATACTCTGAATTTCTAAGTCAACATGTTTTTGCAAAGAGTAATTCTGTTTGACAAATTCGAATTTTATTTTCGAGGATATAAATAGTAGGGTCGATAACAGGGAACTAGTAAATGTAGTATACTTGGATTTCCAAAAGGCACATCATAAGATGCTAGACGAAAGATTAATTTACAAGATGAAGATTCCTGGAGTTGGGAAATGATATAGTTAGAGAATTGGTTAAGTGACAGAAAGCAGAGGTGAGAGACATATAGGACTTTTTCAGCTTGTCAGGCTGTGGAGTTTTGCAAGGATCTGTGCTGGGGCTTCATGTATTTACAAACTATTTTAATGACTTTGATGAGAAAACAGGGTAATGTAAACTTTTTGATGCAAAGCTAGGTGGGAATGTGAGCTGTTAGGAGGACTGAGGCTGCAGACAGATATTGATGGGTAATCAATCATGTGATCTCTCCCCCCACCCTGCCCAGCTCCAGTCTCCTCTCCTCCAAGGAAAACAGCCCCAGTCAATCCAATTTCTCTTCATAACTAAAACTGTCCGGCCCAGGCAACATCCTGGTAAATTTCCTCTGCATCCTCTCCAATGCAATCACATCCTTCCTATAAGGTGGATTCCAGAACTGTAAGCAATACTCTAGCTGTAGCCCAACCAGTGTTTTAGATATTTTTAATCAGTCTGTTCAGGAGTGTTTTAACACATCTCTGAAGCAGGTGAAACTTTAACCCAGGCAGTCTGACTCAGAGGTAGGGACACTACCTCTGTGCCATTTTATACTGTTCCAGCATCATCTTCCTGCTCTTAAATTCTATCCTTCAGCTACTAAAGGCAGGTATCCCATCTGCCTTCTGAGCCACTTTATCTCCCTGTCCTGATACCTTTAGGGAACTGATGGACAGGTAACACCCATTCGCAAGGTCTTACTGTTCATCTTGAATTCCATTTGCCACTGATCAGCCCATCTATATCTGCAATTTACGACCTTGTCAAAAGCTTTCCTGAAGCCCAAGTTGGATATGTCAAATGCATTACCCTCATCTACACCTGGTTCCCTCATCGAAAAATTCAATCAAGTTGGTTTAATATGAACTAAATGGTCCAATTTTAAAGGGAATGCAGAAACAGAGGCTTGTCCGTGTATATCAACAAATTTCTGGAAATGACTTAAGGAAAATGGTGTTGCAAAAAATATAAAGCTGAAAGGAAAGACAGGAACTACAGGGGTACAATTCTATTGGGGGTCCAACAGCAGAGAGGTTTGGATGTATATGGATATAGATCATTGAAAGTGGCAGGACAGGTAGAGAGCACAGTTAATGAAACATACAGTGTCTTAAGCTTTAATAATCGTGACCAAGAGTACAGGTGCAGGGAAGTGATGTTGAACTTGTTAGACCTCAGTTGGAGTATTGTGTATGGTTTTGGGTGCCACATTACAGAAAGGATGCAAATACATTGGAAAGAGTGCAGAAGAGGTTTACAAAATGGTTCTAGTGATGAGGAATTTCATTATGAGGATAGGTTGAAGAAGTTGGGACTGTTCGCCTTGGAGAAGATCTGATAGATGCTTTCAAAATCAAGAATGGGCTGGATAGTGTAGATGGGGAGAAATTTCCCACTTGTAAGGGGAATAAGAGGGTATAATTTTATTTTGATGATTCTTTAAAACACCACAGAAATAGTGTCATAGTCATACAGCCTACCATCTCACCAGCATCCACATCCAGAAGATCATCAGATGCCATTTCCGTCACCTCCAGCGAGATGCCACCACCAGACACACATTCCCCTCCCCTCCCTTGTCTGCCTTCTGCAGGGACCATTCCCTCTGGGCCACCGTGGTCCGCATGTCCTTCACCCCCAACACCCACCCCACGGCTGTAAGGCACCTTCCCCTATAACTGGTGAAGGTGCAACACCTGCCCATTTACTTCCTCCCTCCCCAGTATCCAAGGGCCCAAACATACCTTCCAGGTGAAGCCCAACACTTCACCTGCACTTCCCAGAATCTAGTCTACTGCATTTGCTGCTCACAATGTGGTCTCCTGTACGTTGGGGAAACGAAGCGCAGACTGGGTGACCACTTTGCAGAACATCTAGGGTCTGCTTGCAAAAAAGACCCTGAGCTACCTTTTGCCTGCCACTTCCAACACACCACCCTGCTCCCTAGCCAACATCTCTGTCTCTGGCTTGCTGAAGTGTTCCAGTGAAGCTCAATGCAAGCTGTAAGGACAACACCTCATTTTCCGCTTGGGGACCCTGCAGCCCTCTGGACTCAATATCGAGTTCAATAATTTTAGGGCCTAAACTCTCCCATGTCCTAGCCCCCTACCCCACACACCTTGTTATCACATAGCCTGCCACCTGTTGTTAGTCATTCCCAGTCCCCATTAACAACTATTTACCCTCCCAGCCAGATCATTATCAACTCCTTTGTCTGTCCAACAGTTCTTCTCTGTCTTTAGGCTCTATCGTATCATTTACCCCCCACCCCACCCCTCTCTATTTTCTGCATGTAAACTGACGTTTTCCCAGCTACCATCAGTTCTGAGGAAGGGTCACCAGACCAAAATCGTTAACTCTGATTTTTTTTTTCTTCACAGATGCTGCCAGACCTGCTGAGCTTTTCCAGCAACTTCTGTTTTTTGTTCCAAATTGACTATTGCCCGAGAGCAGAAATTCCTCCTAATCTCTGTCTTAAATGAGCAACCCCTTATTCTGAGGTTTTAGTTAGAAATCTGCAGGTTGTGTGAGAAAGATAAGGCTGTCAGCTTTGTGAAGAAGTTCATATTGGCAGATTTGGAAAGGACTCCTCAAACTCTCTCCATGGCACCACAGGAAAGAACCTGAAAGGAGGCAGTTAAGTAGAACCCTAAAGGGCTGAGACAGGGGGATAATTTCTGTAGACTTGAGTCTCTATGACAAATAATGTTGGGAATCTTGAGTGAAAGGTGAAAGATGTATATGGTGTGAAGAGAAACCAGAGTACACTATTAAAGTGATCTGCAAAAGAAGCAAAGATGAAGTGATGAAAAAATTTTTTCGCTCAGCAAGTACTTAGGATATGGAATGCACTGCCTAGAACTGTGGTTTTATTATTTAGATAAAAATATTGTGCAAGGGTATGGGAAAAATCAGACTGACTGCAATGAGTCAGTGCAGAAACAATGGGCCACATGGCCTCCTTTTGCGCCATAACACTTCTGAGATACACAGCGGGTTAGTCAGGATCTGTGGCGAGAACAATTAAGCCTAGGTTTTGGAGTTTCAAGAATGAACTTTTCCTGAAACATTAATGTTTAAAGAGCACATCTTGCAGTTTTATTCTCAAAGAAATAGTATTAAATGGATGGATGTTATGTTAAACTTTGCCTTAGCTGAAGTTCTATGTTCAGTTCTGGTCACCATGCTTTAGGAAGAATATAAAGTCTTGGAGAGAATGCAGAAGAGGGATACAAAATTAACAGAATCGATGAAAGATCTTCAGTTACATGAAGCGTTGTTGCTGTCCAGTCCAAAGATGTATTTGAAGGATTCTGATAGAATACATATGGAGAAGTTTCGGTGGACAGGAGGCTCATTACCACAGGACAGAGATTTAAGTTAGTTGACAAAATACCCGATGGAGAGAAGAGAAATATTTTTAAAATATTGAGTTGTTGTGATTTGGAACACACTGTCTAAGAGGCTGGTGGAAGCAGATTCATTTGTTTCCATCAGAAACAGCATAAATACCTGAAAAGAAGAAATAAACTGTTAAGCCATGGGGAAAAAGCAATACAGGATGTTGAATTTCTTAGAGACAGCATAGAAATGGTCAGGCCAAACGGCAGCCTTCTGGGCTGTGATTCTGTGTCTGTTCTTGCCAACGAAGTTAACTGACAACGAAACTTTATATTGTGCCATCAGACCCAGTGTCACGGTGAGAGCAATGCAGTTTTTCTATGATCTTCAGTGCTGAAGTTTAATTCTCTACCACTCTGATCAAAATGGTTGAGGGGGAGCGGGGAAGAAAACAGTCCAACTACCATCGACATTTTAAAAAAAGATGCATGACCTGAATGTTTCCATGTATATCAGTGCTTTATTTAACAGTGTCTATCTTATACAGAAAGCCACAAAAAAGACGGATAAAACCACTGTGGAAGAGAAAGAATTCATCGAGGTGTCTGATTTGTCAGATGAAGATTTAAAAGAGCAACTTATAAAATATGGATTTTCTGCAGGTCCTATTGTGGGTGAGTATTAATGTCAAACTACACTGCTATTACACGATGAAAGGCCCATGTTTCCTATACTTACGAAGGGGTTAAAGATGAGAAAGCCATCAATTAAACATAGTTCTCCAATCAGACAGTTGTTCATAGCACCATCCAGGTTTTTCAAGTTCTTCCGGAGCTTTCACTTCAGATACAATTAGAAGCCATTTCACTATATAAAACGGAGCAATTTGAATTCATGATCCCATCACCCTTCTCTAGCAGCTTATTTTCTTACATTTCTTGAAAGTTATTTCCATTATTTTCTTGATTATCAATATCACCATCTAGTAATACCATTCGGGTACCTCCCCATCAGTGTGAATAGCCTTTGTTCATAACTCTGGCTCCAGATTTCCGTTTAGATGAAAGTATCATTAACCAGTTCATGAATTGTGTCTTCCATTGACAGCTAATGTACACGTTTCCTCTTGAAAACTGCATGTTCAAATGTTGAATGTTACCTGTGAGGCTCCCTGTGATTATGAATGTGTTTTACGTGCCATTCCACTGATGTGACAATTACAGTCACAGAGGTCACTTTCAGACCAAAATAGCTTTGGTTGCAGCCCTTTAAGTGGCTCTTGAGTAGTATCAATTTGAACATGCCATTCCTCCTATGGTACTGCGTTCTTTTTTTTTTTTCTCAGCCAGGATCTTCAGTCTTCATATAAAAGCAAAATACTGTGAATGCTGGAAACCTGAAACAAAAACAGAGAACAAAAACAAAATTGCTGGAAATCTGAGGAAGGGTCACTGGACCCGAAATGTTAACTCTGTTTTTTCCTCCATAGATGCTGCCAGATCTGCTGAGCCTCTCCAGCAATTTTGTTTTTGTTACTGATTTACAGCATCCGCAGTTCTTTCGGTTTTTACAAAAACAGAGAATGCTGGAGAAACTCAGTAGCTCTGGCAGAATCTGAGGAGAGAAAAACATTTCGAGTCTAGTATGACTCTTCAGAACTGAAACATGAGACTTTTCAGTTCAGAAGTGTCATTGTTTTTCGGCATTCTTTTTTTCCCTTCTACTCTTCATACTTGCTTTGTGTGTCCATGCCACACCGTGTCCCATCATTTTTTGGAAAGCGGTTGTCACTGTTGTCGCAAAGAAGTTGTAAAGTAACTTCCTGTGTACCAAGTTCAGACCTGTTCATGTGTGAGATTCTCCCCTCCACGTACACATTATGTAACTAACAAACAGGAATTGTGAGACATTGTGGTGAAATTAATATCTTTATTGTAACAGTGCTTTTCAAAATCCTCCTTCTACCTTTATGTTATCTGCAATGTCTTCATCAGTTCATTTCTTTTGTCCGCTTATATCATTTCCATCCCATCAACCATCCATCCATTCTTAAACAAACTTGTGCATTCTATCACTTCACTATTCTTCCCCTCCCTCAGAAAGGTCTGTGAGCAGTGAAAAATTTTCCTTTTTTTTTGGCTTGTTGATGACTGTTTGGTAGTCCCACATATTTGCAAACGTTTGTGGGGGGAGCAGCAGAATGCTGGATTTGTACCATTTTGTTACACTGTGGCATTGAGTGTTAGTACTTCCTCAGTCTGAGGAATGAGTAACAATTCATTTAGGAGCACATTTTGTAATCTTGGGATGGTGCTGAATTTGAATCCTGAAATTTTTTTGCTAATCGGGAAAGCTGGAAATGCTTTATTGTTGGCATAAAAGCAGATTGTTTAATTCTACATAGCAAGAACCTGGCTGCTGCTCTTGGAATCTAGGTAAAGGAGATGGTTAAGAGCAACCTGATGGAAACAGCCTGTTTCCTTTAAGAGAAATAGTATTGGGAAGAAGACACTTTAATAGGACTAGTCTATAGGCTTCCTAACAGTAGCTGTTTAGTAGGGCTGAGAAATTTTATACCTAGATACCTTTTCTACCTAAGATGGCATGAAGGTCTGCAATGAGGGACTATATGGTTCTTTATTTTTCTAAGGTATTACTAAGAATCTGTACCTAGGTATCTTTGTACCTAAGATGGCGCCATAAGTGGCGACTTTGTAAACTTTTCACTGTACTCGTGTGAGTACACGTGACAATAAACCTAATTCCAATTCTGAAAATCTATAGGTAATGAGGACATGTAAGAAAGGCAGTACATTAATCGTGGATGACTTGAATCTTCATGTAGATTGGAATAGTGAGATTGGCAGAGGAAGCTATAAGGAAGAATATGGAATCTATTTGGAACATTTTCTAGAAAATGTGTTGAATCATTGAAAGAATGATTTATTGTCACATATATCTAGGGAGATACAGTGAAAATTATTCTGTAACCACAATCTGGTTCCATTTTGAGGTACAAAGAATAAAAAGAAAGTACCTAAGTAGAGTTCATCTTTATCATCTGGGGTCTCAAAAACAGCTCCAGGATTTGGCCCCTCCTCCCGGCCTTGTGCAGTCAGGAGCCCTCGCTCCAGGCACTGACACCACCTCAGTCAATGACCCGTGACCGAAAAGAATCCATATTCCAGGAATCCCTGCTCCAGCATCGCTGCAGCTAATGCCTTGCCACCATTCCATGACTCCACGCATCGGTCCTACAAAGCCAGGAGTCCTTGCTCCACCGTTGCTGTATCCGACACTCCGTTGACACCACTCCAGCCTCCCAGCAATGTCAGGAAGATGAAGAAAAGAAAAAGAAAAAAGACGAAAATGAGAGAGAAAAAATGCAGCTGGCCTGGAGTGGATGGGATCAGCCTGAGCACTGCCTAACGTGTCGACGCCATCATCTTGTTGTGGATCCAACCAGAGATCAGGCTGTTTTGGATTTGGTGATGTGTAATGAGGCAGGTTTGACAAATGATGTCAAAGCAAAAGATCCCCTAGAAAACAGTGACCATAGTATAGTATAATTTAGCATTCAGTTTGACAGGGAGGAACTTTGGTTGTAAACAAATGTGGTAACCCTAAATAAGGGTACTTGCAAAGTAATGAGGGCAGAGCAGGCTGCAGTGGGCTGGGGACGAAGTTGTGAGGAAGGGTCACCAGACCCAAAACGTTAACTCTGATTTCTCGTCACAGATGCTGGCAGACCTGCTGAGCTTTTCCAACAACTTTTGTTTTTGTGACTGGGAAAGGAGTTTAGCAAACAAGAGGGTTAAGGAAAAATGGAAATGTGCAAGATGATAGTTCATGGTTCACAGCTCAGACATCCTGATGAGAAAGAAATATTTTAGAAATGGAATATGCCTAGCATGATATGTTTTTAATTCAATTGTGAAGCATGGACGTCACTGGCTGGTCCAGCATTTATTGCCTGTCCCTAGTTGCCCTTCAGACTGTGGTGATGAGCTGCCATCTAGAACCGTTGCAGTCCATGTACTGTAGGTAGACCCTCAATGTCAGAAATTTAGTCCCAATGATATTAAAGGAACAACAATATAATTCCAAGTCAGAATGGTGAGTGGCATGAAGTGGAACTTGCAGGGTGGTGTTCCCATGTATCTACTGCCCTTGTCTTTCTAGATGGAAGTGGGTTTGGAATCATGATGAATTCCAGAAGTGCATCTTAAAGATGGTACTGAACATCGGTGGTGGTAGGTGTGGACGTTTGTGGTTGTAGTCCCAATCAAATGGGCTACTTTGTCCTGGAATGTGTCAAGCTTCTTGAGTTGTTGGAGCTGCATTGATCAAGGAAAGTGGGGAGTATCCCAACACATTCCTGACTTGTACCTCTGGGGAGTCAAGAGGTAGGTTACTTGTTGCCGTATTCCTAGCCTTTGATCTGCTGTTGAGGTCTTTGTATTAAATGGCTAGTCCAGTTTGGTTTCTGGTCAGTGATAGTCTCCAAGAAGTTGCTAGCAAGGATTCAGTGATGGTAATGCCAGTGAATCAAGGGCTGTGGTTAGATTGTCTCTTATTTGAGATAGTGATTGCTTGGCATTTATGTGGCATGAATGGTACTTGCCATAAGGTTAATCCCAGATATGGAGGGACTGTGTTACGAGATTGGAGAGGTTGGAATTTAGAAGAATGAGAGGTGACCTGACAGAGCCATACAAAATTCTTAGGGGACCTGACAGGTTAGATGCAAAAAGGTGCTTACTCTTCGATCAAACGGCATAATCTCAGAACAATGGAGGCCCTTTTAAACCAGAGATGAGAATTTCTTCTGTGTAGTGAGTTTGTGGAATTATTTCCTTTAGAGGCTGGCTTGTTAAATATATTCAAGGCTGAGATACAGATTTTTAAACAGTAAGGGAATTAAGGATTATAGCAAAGAGACAGGAAAGTGGGGTTGAGGATTATCAGATCAGCCTCCATCTAATTGAATGGCAGGACAGATTTAATGGGCTGAATGGCCTGTTCTTTTCCTAGATGTTATGGACCTACCTCATCTCCAGTCACTGTCACCTTGTGGTGAGATTGGGAACACTTTCATCATGCAATCCAAAACATTCTGCTGCTACCCAAGAATAGTGAATATGGGGGTAGTGCACACAACAAGTGATTGTAGTGTTTAATGGACATATTGGGAGTTACAGGTGTTCATTGGGTGAAATATGCCTAATGTGGAGATGCTAAAGTCTAATAATCTGAGCTGACTATACAATTACACTTTTTCATTCAATCCTGTTTCCTAGCTGAAATGTTTATACACATATATTTCTAGGTGCTATCTCTTCCAAATATGCTGATCGCTCGTACAAAACAGTACCTTTTTGTATTGGACATTTTACCTCTCTGTTATTATCATGTTATTTTCTTATTTGAGGTATTGAATAGAAAAGCTGCATAAAATATGAGTAACGTCCGAATTCTTTTCCTTACTGTTGTGCAGCCACCACAAGGAAGATTTACGAGAAAAAGCTGGAGCAGCTGATGGACCAGGGCTCAGTAACTCAGGAAAACCAACCAAATGGGAGCACAGATTCTGATCAGTACAGTGACACGGAAGAAGGTGAATAAACCCAGCTTATTCAAAATTGTCTTCTGTGACTGCCAGTTTAAATGAAACAAGGTGCTATATGAATTTGCTCCAACTACTTCTGATTGACATCCACCACAAAAGAACAATTGTCTTTAAATCCTGAAACAAAGACACAAATTTTTGGAGAAACTCAGCAGTTCTGGCAACATCTGTGGAGAGAAAGCAAAGTCAATGTTTCGAGTCCAGTGACCCTTCTTCAGAACTCACTGATTTCTAAACCTTAACTTTGCTTTCTGTTCATTGATCTTCAGCATCCACTGTTTTACTCTTAAAACCCATTTCTCCAGTTCTGTATCCTACTGTTAATCTGAGTTTGTAATTATCGAAATGAAACTAAAGGAGCTAAATCTTCATATTGGAGGATAAGTAGGGACCAAACTCAGTTGTGGTGTTTTGACACTCCTGTGGGATATACACTGGGATAGCTTATCCCGGTGTAACAGGAAGGAGTCTTTCCATTTAAAATCTGTTCTTTATATGAATGTAAATTGTTAGAATATTTGAGATTTAGTTTTATTGAGACATCACTTCTAATGGAATTGATGGGCAGTCAAACAGTAGCTAGTGTTTAGTTCAGGAGCTGTTTCAACAGTAACTGACACATTTACTTCAACTGCATAGAATTTTGAATCCTTTGACACACTGGTCAGAGTTAACACATTACAAACTTTCCATCCTGTCCCAGTTCCTGACATTTACCTTGCCATCCATTTTAATATTTTGCTCTCAAGTACTTACCCAATTTCCTTTTTTTTTCAAAAAAGGTTTCTTTATTCTGCTTCCAATGAAGTTTCTTGATAATCCTTTACAGAGAAACAATCTGAGCCATTGTACTAGGACCTGAAGAAGCAGATTTGCAGGGAAATTACTGAATTGTTTGAGTCATGGGAGTTCTGATAATGAGAGACTTTACTTCACTAATGAACGATACAGTCATTAAGGGCTGAATGGGTATACGCATATCTCTCTCTTGTTATTGTGAAGGATGCAAGTTTCTTTAATCTCTCCTCAGAACAGAAGAGTTTGACTCCTTATATTGTCTTAGTGAATCTCTCCAGCACCGTCCGTTCCGAAAACAAGGTGCCAGTAATCAAGCACAGTATCCTAACTACAACCTAACTAATGTGATTAAATGCTATAACAAATAAAGACACAAATGTTGGAAATACTCTAGTCTCGGTGGAGTCTCATCTCTGTGGAGAGAGAAGCAGTGTTAACATTTCAACTCTATGAAATTAACTAAATGTTAATTGTATAGATGTTGGTATAGTAACCTATTTGCAAATATTCCCGTTGGCTGAGCTTGTATTTGCACTGTTGTGTTCAACATCATTTTTTTATTCTTCCTGTTTAATTCCCTAATTTAGTTCTGTTCTGTGTAACTGCAGTCTAAGGCTCAGCTTGTTTTATTTAAGTGAGATGGTGAGCCCCAGCAAATTGTACATTGCATTGGTTTTGTGATCAAAGAGCAGAACTTGATGAATAACACATACTTGTCTTTTGATTATTCAGAGATTGTAATGGAAAAGAAGGAGCTGTTTACAAGCAAGACCAAAACTCCTGTAGTAACCAGGCAGAGAAAAACTGAATTTAGTTGGGTAAGTGATTTAGGTGGATTATTTCATAACCTTTCACAGTTAGAAATTCAAACTGTATGTTTTAAACAAGAGACAGTATTTTAAAAAAAAATTAGTACAGCAAACTTTGTTTTAACCAGCGCTATATGAACTAGCACTCTCAATAAACCAGCAAAAATTATACACCTGAAATACCAGAAGTTTGCTGTATTATCCCAATATTTGCAATGTCTGAATAGTCAGTAGAGGATGTGAGTGAGAAGGCTGTCTGCCAGTAAGATTTATTTAAGGCAAAATTGCATTATTAAGTGGTTTATGCTGTAAATAAAGTATAACAATGATGTGTATACCCCCTGCATTATATTTCTATTAGTGTATGTTTTTACATTATTATGTTGATCAACTGATACACTACTGGTCCCATTGGTGCTGGTTAATAAAACGTTTGCTGTATTTTGAATTGAGCATCATAAACAACAGGAATTTGCGCTGAAAAACATTTCAAATTTGTAAGTGTTTTCTAATCAAACAGTTCAGATGTGTTGTGACACAATTGTAGAGAAATGTATGGTGACATACCTCTGGAGCAGGTGGGACCTGAACCCAGGACTCCTAGCTAAGAGGTATGAATATTACCACTCTGCCAAAAGATCCATCTGCATTCAGGTTTGTATGGTGAGTTTTTAAAAAGTTGTGCATGTCCATTGCTATTTGAGAGCATAAAAAAGCTTGCAGCAGTTTGTTGATGTTTTAATGAAGTACTATGTTATTTGCAGCTGTAATTGAACTGTTTGCTGTAACAACTTGCATGTTCTTTAAAGTATAGTTCACTAATATTATAGGGGTGCTTTTGCAGAATTTAGTACACTTGGGATTTGACTGCTACACCGTACAAATATAAATAATCCTGATATTATGTCATCAGGATCTAGATAGAAATGACTGTAGGTGATCTTAATGAAAGTACTCGGATGCACATTCAATTTTTTTTAAATTCATTCATGGAACGTGGACGTTGCTAGCTGGCCTGCATTTATTGCTCATCCTTATTTGCCTTGAGAAGACGCTGGTGCGCTACCTTCTTGAAACGCTGCAGTCCACATGCTGTAAATAAACTCAATACCATTAGAAAGGGAATTTGCAGGTGGTATTCGCTGAAATAGCATCTACCAAAATGGAAGTCAGGAATAACGTTAAAATACCAAGGAACATTCATTTAGTAATCTGAGCCATTTAACAGAATATTCATGCTCAACATGCCTGCACCAATCCTCCTTAACACTCTGTGCGTTCTTCTCCTTAGGTCCTTTTGCACTAACCTAACTACACTTGAAACACACACAGCACATTACTCAGTGACAAGTAGACTAATTACTTGTGGATATGTTAAAATGTGGAGCATAATTTTGTTGGTGCATGCAACAAAAAGAGCAGATTTCGACTAGTAATATATCTAAAATATTGCCTTTCTGACTTCCTGATGCCCCAAAGTGCTTTACAACTACTTTTGAAACATAGCGGAACGCCCTGCCTGCAAATGTAGTAGACTCGCCAACTTTAAGGGCATTTAAATGGTCATTGGATAAACATATGGATGATAATGGAATAGTTTAGGTTAGATGGGCTTCAGATTGGTTTCACAGGTCGGCGCAACATCGAGGGCCGAAGGGCCTGTACTGCGCTGTAATGTTCTATGTAGTCACTACTGTAACTGTAGGCAATGTGGCAGTCAGTTTGCATGCAACACGTTTGCACAAACAGGAATGTAATGTATGATCAGATGTTATTTTTACTTTTGGGTTTTGACTGACCGGTAACTATGGATCTGAACCAGTATTTGATTTGCAAGTAGTTTAAAGAGGCTACTTATATTTTCTAAAATAAATGTGGAAAATGAAAGCAGAAATGCATAGAAAGTCAAACAGTGTTTGCAAAGTAAAAACACAGGTTATGTTTTATATGTACACCATTTCAAAGTATAGGCACCTTACCCATTAACCTATCAGAACAACTTACAGCATTTACAGGTTTTTCTCTTTACTATAATCAAAGAGGAATGCGATCGCCTAGTGGTGATGTTACTGAACTAGTAATCCAAAATCTCAGGCTAATACAATTTGGTTAACTCTTAATTGTCCTCTGAGCAGTTAGGGATAGGCAATAAGTGGCAGCCTTGCCAGTGACATCCACATCGCATGAACAGATTTTAAAAACAGAATATTTAAATGAATAACTGATAAAAGGATGAAACATTGAAGAGAGTAAAAAATTCAAATTGCAGTAGCCACGATTTAGTGTGTTAGTGAAATATTGGCTTGCTAAAGCCGATCAATGTTCTTATCTTAAAAATATAACTGGGTATGAAAATCACCCACTAACCAGTTTAGGGATGTTTGAGTTGTTGTCATCTTGTAGCTGACAGAGCCTAAACACTTTGGAATTCATGTGATAGTTACTTTTATCTAGGTAAGAGCGTAGCTACCAGCAAAAATTTCTTGTGTTTCTAATTTGTCCATATTACAGTACAATGCCAGCTTTGATGATTAAAAATCAAAACATTAATAAAAAGTTGGCAAAAGCATTTATAATTCTGGTTTCTATTGTTATACTTTAAGATTCCTTCTTTACTATGTTATATCTGATATGGAGAAGTAACCACTTCTAATCAGCTAGACTTGTAAAAGGACTTCTGGCTTCTAATCATTGTCGAAGTTGAAATCTGTTATCCCGTGTAACTGTGAAAGAAATTTGAACACATTAGTTGTAAAATCATTTAAATTAATTTTAAGAATCTACCTATACCATGCTTGTGATGTGTGAATCTGATGAAGGATGAATTGAGTCTCATCCTCCCAGTAAACTGAACTAGATAACTGCACCTTTAAAATATCATTCAGTGTTTTTCTCTAGAACTCCAAATTCTACATCTGTTAATTAGTCCTGACGTAAATTGGTATATCAAAATCTTGCACGTAAGTTTGTTTTTGAAAATGAGATCACAAAGACACATAGAGTAAGCTGTCATTTTTAAAATTTGCTTTATCTCTTCCTGTCTCCTTATTTTGCCTACTATAAAATATTGATGAAATCTATTTTGTTTGTACTGTATGTTATTTGTTGCTGGTTTTGGCATTGCAAAACTTCGCAATTTATCTTTGTACTTGAATGGTAGGCTGTGAAATTTGGGCGTTATCCACGAACACACACTCAAATGTAGGAACTTAAATATTTGACTATGACTGACAGGTATAACAAGTAGGGAGGCAAACAGGAGGCTGGAAGAACACCGCAAGCTAGGCAGCATCCAGAGGAAAGGAGCAGTCAACCGGAAACGTTGTCTACTTCTTTCCTCTATATGCTGCCTGGCTTGCTATGTTCTTCCAGCCTCCTGATTGTCTACCTTGGATTTCAGCAGCTGCAGTTTTTTTTGTCTCATAACAAGTAGGGAAACTTGACAATGATTCCAGTTTCAGGATCACTTAGTAACCTTGAAATCATTTTGTTTGTACGGACTGTTTTAATTCTTTGTCAGCTCTAATTAGGTGTTGAAAAATTAACTGCATGCAATCATTGTATTCATTGTCCATTCTTTTAATCGTGGATTGGTTTATTTTAATTTCTCTAACCTCATTTGGTTACATTTTGTTATTTAACTTTTTGTTGTGAATACAGTACTGTATAAAATTGTCTCATCTTTCATTGTGATTGGAGATAAAATATGTATAAGATTTGGAACTGAAATAAAAAGAAACAGATCCTCTGTGTGTGGTTTGGTGCATTGGTGCTCAAGGAAAGTAGTCCTTGACAACTCATTGGTGATGACTTAACTAAGACTTCTGTGAAGTTTATTTCTTTCAGAAGTGTTGATAACACGTTTGTTCAGGGCTTAAAAAGCATATCAGATTTTTTTAAAAATATATTTTGCAGAAAAATGGAAGAGCTCCAACCTCTCTCTTAGCTGCAGTTGTCATGATAAATACTAAACCTGCATAAAGGCAGTTGTTGAACACTGCCTTGCTAGAGGGAAAACAATTTTAATTTTGGTTTCCTCCATGTACCAGAACTCTTGAGTTGGTGTGTGGAGTAACTTCTGTAAATCTTAATAATTATTTTCTTCAGGAGAAACAGAGAGCAGGGGAGCTGCTGAACTAAATATCAGATAATCAACTACCCTAACAAAGCAAAAACCAGGGAAGTTGGCAACTCCCATACCACAGGGAATGGATACTGTCTCTCTCTAATAGCACCCGTCTCTCTCTCTCTCTCTCTCTCTCTTTAATGAGCCCCTGGAGTGAGGAAACATGCCACTTGATCCAACAGGTCCACGCCGACCAAGCCTCCAAAGAGCATCCCACTCAGACCCACCCCCCTACCCTGTTCCTATAACTCTGCATTTCCCGTTGCTAAACCACCTAGCCTGCACATCCGTGAACAATTTGGGCGATTTAGCATGGCCAGTTCATCTAATTTGCACATCTTTGGACTGTGGGAAGAAACTGGAGCACCCAGCAGAAACCCACTCAGACATGGGGAGAATGTGCAAACTCCACACAGACAGTTGCCCGAGGGTGGAATTGAACCCGGGTCCCTGGCACTGTGAGGCAGCAGTGCTAACCATGAGCCACTGTGCCACCCAAAATTGAATTCAGATTCCATCCCTTGCCATGCTCGTATTTGAACCCAAGTATCCAGAACATTACCTGCATCTCTGGATTAATAATCTAGCAATAACACCACAAGGATATCGCCTATCAGTCCAGTCGAGTTCCGGGTCTTTTAGTTTCTATCATTCTAAAGCCAGTTACTACAACTGAACCTTGAGTGAAAGATTTATACATTTTTTTATACTTTATAGGTGGAACAAAAGGAAGTAGTGAGGGACAATTTGCGAGAAGAAATATTCCCCGATGAGGCACCAACACCTACAGGGATCAGGTATGATGGGGGCTGCTGTTCTTTTTATATCCTTCAGTAACATGTTGGAAGTTGGTGGCTGTGATATGTACTCAGTCACATCACAAAAATCCCAAAGCCTACTGTACCTAAAATGGAGTGTCTTTACAGGGGTTTCATTTCACAGAATCTTGGAGAATCTGAAGCTTGCTAAAGCACCCCTCTACCTAAGAAGGATTGGAAATTTATGACCAACTCCACACTTTTCACACTTAGTTCATGCAGTGTTCTTGGTTACATTCCATTTGGTCTGGATCAATCTTGAACATAGAATTCATGATGCATCTTTAACACTTTGGGAAAAGTAATAAGACAAGGGAATACTCAAGTGAATGGTGGGACACTAGGAAGCTCAGTGGAACAGAAGGATCTTGGAGTGCATGTCCACAGATCTGTTGAAAAGTCACTTAAAACATTAACTCTGTTTTCTCTCCACAGATGCTGCCAGACCTGACTTTCTCCAGCAATTTCTGTTTTTCGATGTTTCAGATTTCGAGCATCTGTAGTTTTGTTTTATTTTACCCGATTGAGGTGCATGAACAGGGTTGAAGGAAACAGCTGTTCCTCTTAGTTGAAGTATTAATTGTGAGAGAGAGTAATTTTACGGTGACTAGCAAAAGGTTTAAAGGGTATTTGAGGAAAAAAGCATTTTTACCCAAAGAATCTGGAACGCACTGCCGGTGGGGCTAGTAGAGGCAGGAAACCACAGACCTTTAAAATGTATTTGGGTGAGCACTTGAAATGTCATAACATTCAAGGCTATGGATCAAGAGCTGGAAAGTGGGAATAGTATAGGTAGGTTGATGCAGATGCGTTGGGCTGAAGGGCATCTAATATACTTAAAGTTTTTGAGAAGATTTGTAGCTCGGGTTGTGGATGAGGTTGTAGACTTGCTTACTGAACTGGTGTGTTTGATTGCAGACGTTTCATCACCCTGCTAGGTAACACTGTCAGTGCGCCTCCGGTGAAATGTTGGTGTTCTGTCCTGCTTGTTATTTATATGCCTCAGTTTGCGGGGATGATTGGCATCACTTCCGGTTCTGTTTTTCAGTGGTTTATACGTCAGTTCCAGTTCAATGTGTTTGTTGATGAAGTTCTGTTTGTTATGCCAGGCCTCCAGGAATTCCCTGGCATGTCTCTGTTTGGCTCGTGCTATTATGGATGAGTTGTTCCAGTCAAATTTGTGTCCTTTGTCCGTGTGTATTGAGACCAGTGAGAATTGGTTGTGTCTCTTGGTGGCTAGTTGGTGTTCGTGTATCCTTATTGTCAATTTTCTTCCAGTTTGGCCTATGTGATATTTTTCACACTCCTTGCATGGTATTTTGTATATTACATTAGTTTTATTGGGTGTGGATATGGGATTCTTTACATTCGTCAGTACTCAATACACACGAACAAAGAAGGACACATTCGACTGGGACAACATATCCATAATAGCACAAGCCAAATAGAGACATGCCAGGGAATTCCCGGTGGCCTGGCATTCCAAATGGAATTCTGTCAACAAACACATTGAACTGGACCCAATATACAAACCACTGAAAAACAGAACCGGAAGTGATGCCAACCACCCCAGCAAACCGAGGCATATAAATAATAAGCGGGACAAAACACCAGTGCTTCGCCAGAGGTGCACTGACAATGTTACCTAGCAGGGTGATGAAACATCTGCAATCAAACACACATCAGAGGACATAGTCTGAGTTAAAAGTCACCATTTAAGACATACAAGAAGTATTTTCTTCTCTGAAGGTGGTCAATCTGTGGAATTCTTTACAGTTGAGAGTTGTTTTAGTTAGGTTGCTAAATATATTCAAGGGTATAATAGACAGATTTTTAATCAAAAAGATTATCAAGGGTTATGGGGAAATGCAGGAAAGTGGAGTTGAGAATGATCAGATCAGCCGTGTTCTCGGATGGATTGAATGGCCTACTTCTGGTGATACACCTTATGCTCGTAATTCATGGGGTACTGACACGAGGAAAAGGGAGAAATCTTCAGTTACGTTGGACACCACATATTCTGGGTAGGGACAAGGATCCTGGCAAATCCAGTAACTAGAATTGTAGATAAAACTTTAAACTACTGAGGAGTGAGGAGGGTTCAGATAAGGTTCAGATTTATGAATCTAAAGAAGGGATTTCAATCTATGAATAAAGGAGGCATTTGGAGAAAATCAGATCGAGTCAGAAGGGGCCCACATGCATCTAAAGCTACAATGGAAAATATAAAAAGTTAAAATTCAAGTTTGTTTCTTTACTTCATTTTTGTAACATAAATTCGGTACCACAAATAGAGAGGAATGGGTTTGATCACTTAGCCATTGCTGAGACCTGGTTGTATGGTGAGTTGGGAATCGGGTATTCCAAAGTGCTCCACATCTCAAACAAAAGGTGAGCTGAGAAAGGAGATGGAGTGCCCATGGCAGTAAAAAATCGAGTAAAGGTAGTAGAGAGGAACAGTCAGTTCTGATAAAACATGATAGTTCCACTCTCATGTGATCTCATGTTATAAGAAAATTGCACAACAGCTGCACTGTTTAAACTATTGGGCCTGGAATCACATTATAGTCAATACAGGTAAGGAAAGTTCGCGTTCTACAAATAGCAGTCTAAATTCCTCAATCGTGTTAAAGTCAATTTGCATTGAAGAAACACATGTTCTAGCAGAACCAACTGTACCTGGAAAATCAGAATGTGAATTCAGTGTAGAATCATGGAGTCCCTACTGTGTGGAAACAGACCCTTCGGCCCAACAAGTCCACACCGAGAACCACAAAGCATCCCACCCAGACCCATCCCCCGTAACCCACCTAATCCCTGAACACTGTCAGCAATTTGCCATGGCCAATCCACCTAACCTGCACATCTTTGGACTGTGGGAGGAAACCCACGCAGACACTAGGAGAATGTGCAAACTCCACACAGACAGTCGCCCGAGGGTGAAATCGAACCCGGGTCCCTGGTGCTGTGAGGCAGCAGTGCTAACCGCTGAGCCACCGTGCTGCCCTAAATGGCTGAAGCTATGAAATAAAAGGCCAGAAGATCTACTGGTGGAAGAATGCTAGAGCTTCACGGCACACCTTTCATGCAATAGTAGTTGAGTATAAATCAGAAAGTTGGAGGATAACAATGGGAATGTAATACTCATGGGGGATTTGACCTTTCCCAGAGTGAGTAAACCAAATTGACGAAAGCAGCTTATGGGATGAGGTAATGGAATGCTTTGTGGGCAGTTTTCTAGAACATGATTTTGAGGAATCAAGTAGGGAGAATGGGTGCAGAGGTTCAGCTGTGCATGAGAGAGGAGAGTGGGCAAACGGAACGAAGAATTCTGTGTCCGTGCGCACATTGGTGGGGGTTGTGTAATTTGCTTTAGTCCAGAAGGTGTCAGATTCTTCCTGCTTCATTCATTTGAAAAGGGTGACATCACAAACACCCAAACCCATTCTACCAATCCATTACGTGATCACTGATCTATATCTTGACTCCATCCACTCACTGTGTTTCTGTAACCCTATACCCTTGCCTAACCACAACCTTTATCCTGAGTTTGAAATGTCCACTGACCTGAGGAATCAACCACTTTTTGAGGAGAGTACCAGATTATGAGGGGTGACCTTATGGCGGTTTATAAAATCAAGAGTTTAGGATAGGGTGAATAGCCAAGGTCTTTTCCCCGGGTTAGGGGAGACCAGAACTAGAGGGGACAGATTTAAAAGGGACCTAAGGGGTAACTTCACACAGGGTGGTGCGTGTATGGAATGAATTGCCATAGGAAGTGGTGGAGGTGGGTACAATTACAACATTTAAAAGGCGTCTGGATGGGTATATGAATAGGAAGGTTTGGAGGGATATGAGCCAAATGCTGGCAAATGGGACTAGATTAATTTAGGATATCTGGTTGGCATGGACAAGTTGGACCAAAGGGTCTCTATGCTGTACAGCTCTGACTCAAATTCATGCTTCGCGTGAAGAAGTGCTTCCTGGAATTACCATTGAATGGCCTGACTCAAATTTTAAGTTCAGTCCCCTTATTCCAAACTTTCTTGCTGTACCTCTACACAGAGAAAAAAGTCATCTTAAAGAAGCTGTTAGGATAGATAATCATCTAATCACCTAAATTGAATCCTCTGTATTCAAGCAAAGGAACATAGGAATAAGGAGCGGGAGTAGGCAATTCAGCCCTTCAAGCCCACTCTGACATTTAACATGATCCTGGCTGATGTTATCCTGGTCTCAACTCCACTTTCCTGCGTGCTCCCCATGGCCTGTTATGCCACTTTCCATCAGAAACATATCTATTTGTTCTTTGAATCTGTTGATTGATTCTGCCTGCACTGCAGTCAGGGGCAGTGCATTCCCCAGATTCACAACCTTCTGAAAGGAAGTTTCTCCTCATCTCTATTTTGAGCTTACCTGCTGTCACTCTATATCTGTGACCCCTTGTTCAAGACTGTCCTATATACAAGCATAGTCAAAGCAAAATGTATTCCTAACCTTCTTAGCCTGACTTTATTCTGATAAATTTGTTCTGTACCCTTTCCAAGGCCTATATATTTATCCAGAGGTGTGTTGCTCTTCAAAACGCAAAGTGCAGCTGCAGTAAGCTTATAATGTATTAATGTTTTTATTCATTTCATTCTTCCTGACTCTTCATTAGTGCCACTTGTCGTAAACCAATCAGAGGAGCAGCTGGGAGACCAATTGAGTTCACGTACAAGGACGCACTTCCAAGGAGGCCTTTACCCAAAATCCAGCCAGTGACACAGGGCAAATTGGAAAAGAATAAAAGTCAGCGTTCTGTCTCCATCTGGATACAGATTGTGGTGCTTCTCATCGTGGCATTATTCTTGCTGTTGGTTTATCAAGCCATGGAAACAAACAAAGGGAATCCATTCCCTGTCATTCCTGAAAGTTCCTCAAAATCAGCAGCTGGCGGTCACCAATGAGCAAGGCGGTACAGGAACTTTAACCATTGGTACATCCTGGAGTTCAGGCGTGAACAAACAGTTCTGTTTTATTAATATCGGAACGGAGCTTGAGGGTTGAGGGGTCAGCAGGAGGAAACTGGACATCTGACTTTTAAAGATGGACTATATCAGGTCTCTGTGCCATATAAGGAAAAAGAAAATTCATTTAAAAATTACAGCTTCAAATTTTTTTGTAAAATATTTTTCTAAATTCAAAATTTCTTCACCCATTTTAAAAACTATCACAATACAATTGGCACAATGAGGGTAATGAAGGTCTGATGAGCACTGCGATGTGTTTTAAGTCATCCTCCATAAGGATTGTATATAAAGTCAGTAGTAATGTTCAATCTTTTATACCTGTTGAGGCATGGTTAAGACTATTCTTGAGGCATGAGGTCAAAAGTCTGAGTTCTAAAAATAATGCTGTGATCCAAGTAATGTTAGTTGAATTGTGTATGTCAGGTAAAATGAGGATTAAAATAGAATGAAAGTTCTCTGCATTAATGCTTAAAGCAGGAAATACATTTACTTGTAGCAGAATATGTTTGAAAATAATGGCATCTTTCAGTAAGTAATTTAATTAAATAGAATTACAAATCTCATCATGAGCCTAGGCACATACATATCAGGTTTTCTTCACTGTTCATTGCTCTTTTCAGTATATAGTCATTTAGGGACATGCATGTACAGTCATAACATAGACTTGTGTGTTTTAATTGTTTAGAACTGTCTTTTTAGAGGACCTATTTATTAGCAATACTAACATTCGTATTAAAATAAAATGACTAAAATAATTATGACTGAGGATTGTATATATCTTGCGAACAATGTTTTATTTCTTGCCAGTGAGCCAATCATCAGATTTTGTACAGTCAACTCATTTCAACTCTCTTGGGGATTCTACTCTGCCATATCTTTGCAACCGAATGGTCTCATATCCTGGTGCTTCTGTCAGGCTTACAGTGGCTCATCAGGAGAACCTTCGTGAGAATTGTTTTGAGCTGCGTGCTTTGTTTTGTTGGGCAGTATCTGATGTTACAAACACGACTTTAACGTACTTGTTGGTTCCTAAACACAAGGCAGTCAGATCTTGGAACAACCTAACTGGTTTCATTGTATGTAGAATACGCAACTTATTTCATAGTGTAAAGAAAGAACAACTGCAAAGAAGTTTCCAGTGCAGGTGGAATGGGGTGATTCCTCCTACTGCAAGGTATGAGGTGTTAATACAGCAGAAAGATCTGTTGAAAGGAGACATAAATAGAAATCACAGAATCTTTACCAATTGCTGTTGTCCAGCAAAAAGGCAACATTAGTTATGATCTGGAATTGTTGATCTCAGCATTGAACAGCCTTGATTCTGAAAGGCTGTTGAGTGTCCAATTGAACAATAAATGTTGAATTTTGGTAGAACAGTGTAGGTAACAAGGAAGCCCAAGTTGGAAAGTAGTGAGGAGTTCAAATGACAGGCAAGAGAAAACTCCAGACTGAACAGAGGTGTTCCAAAATCATAGAATCCCTACAGTGTGGAAGTAGGCCATTCGACTCATTGAGACTCCACTGCCCCTCCAAAGAGCATCCCACTCAGATACACCCCCACCCTATCCCTATAACCCTGCATTTCCCATGGTTAATCCACCTAGCCTGCATGTCCCTGGATACAATGGGCGATTTAGCACGACCAATCCACTTACCTTACACATCTTTTACCTGCATTTAGTTACCTCCTTTTAGGGGAACGAGTGATCAGAAACGACTGTATGCTGCATCAACAAGTAAAGTAAGTGGCCAAATGATGTCTGATGAAGTGAAATGTGGATAAAGATGAGGTTATCCACTTTGGCAAAAACAGGAAGGTAGGTTTTATCTGAATGATGCTGGATTGGGATTGGGGAGGTGCATTGAGATCTGATGGTCCTTGTACTCCAGTCACTGAAAGTAAGATGCAAGTGCAGCAAGTGGTGAAGAAGACAAATGATACATTAGCCTTCACAGCAAGAGGATTTGGGTCCAGGAGCAGGGATATCTTGCTGCAATTGTACAGTGTCTTGGTGAGACCACACCTGGAGTATTGTGTGCAGTTTTGGTTTCCTTATCTGACGAAGGATGTCCTGGTTATGTAGCGAGTGTAACAAGGATTTACCAGACTGATATCTGGGATGGCAGGACTGATGCATAAAGAGACAATGGATTAGTTAGGATTATGTTCCCTGGAATTTAGAAGAATGGGGTGTTGGATTTCTTAGAAACCTATAAAGCTCTACAGGCCTAGAGAGGAGAGAAAATTAGGCAGATAGAAAGAATTCAACTCTGTGGAGTAAGAATCGATTAAATAATGCATCTGTCAGGCAGTCCTCTGACCATTAATCCATTTACTATAAACATTGAGATAGTAGCTGTTCAGGTCGGGTAGTGACTATAGTTCAGTAGCTAAAAATAAGCATCCTTTGATCCCAATTTGCTGTCAGCAGAAAGTAGTAAATTGATGTAGCAGAGAGGGAGAGCTGGAATTTAGATGAAAGAAATAAATTTACATAGCCATGGGAATAGAGTGAGGTAATGATTTGTATCTCTCAACAGAGACTTTAAAATAGTTCTGAAGAAGGGTTTCTGTTTTTGTGTGTTTCAGATCTCCGGCATCCACAGTTCTTTGATTCCATACCAGCATAATATAACATAAAGGGCAAATGGCTTAAAATATTTTATGTAGTCGTTAATCAATTGATTTGGACTTTGCTGTCATCCTTTTGCAAACAGTATTTGGTTTCATTATTCTGCCAGAGCCCTCAGCATCGCTCTTTATTAGTTTAAAGTCCTTCCTACAACTCAATTTATCTTTTCAGAAATGGACCTTGGTCTCAATTCATTCGGATGCATGAATAGCGCAAAAGCAAAATACTACAGATTCTGGAACCTCTGTTCCAAGAATATCAATGGTTAAGTAATTCTGTTCTTTCCTCCAGTGAGAGTTCAGTTTTGTCTCTCACTTTGTTCATCTTCATTGCAATTTCCCCTCTCGTGTTTGATGCGCTATCTAGGAAAGCTCAGTTTGGCAGTGTGCCTCTTTCAATTGGACTGCCTGAGATCAATGCACAGTGCCACGTCCTGCTGCATGCACACTCAACCTTTCTTCAGCACAGGAAGACAAGATAGGAAGAGATGTTGTTATTGCAGCTCATCGAGCGCCTCCACCAGTCGATATAATCATACCTGATCTTGAGCTTCAGCTTCATTTTCCTGCCTACCGTCCCATATCCCTCAACTCATTGACAGATTAAAAATCTGCCCATCATCTCGGAGAGTTCACTAGGATAATCCCCAGTGAGGAGGGATTGTCTTATGAGCAAAGGCTAAAGAGGTTGGGATTGAATTTACTGGAATTTAGAAAGAGAGGTAATTTCATTGGGACATGTAGGATTCATAAGGGGCTTAATAAGGTAAATACTGAGAGGATGTTGCCCTCTTGGGAAAGTCTGGGACCAGAGGGCATAGTCTCAGAATAAAAGGGTGCAGATTTAAGACTGCAATGAGGAGAATTTCTTCTTAAGTTTGAGTGTCTTTGGAATGCTTTGCCACAGAGAGCTGTGGGGGCAAAGTCCTTGTGCATATTTAGGCTGAGATAAAGACAGATTCTTGACTCAAGGGTTATAGGGAATTGGATATTGGACCAGCCATGATCCTATTGAATGGTGGAGCAGGCTCAAGAGGCTGAATGGCAATGACCTGTTCTTATTCCTTGTGTTCCGTGCCTCTATGTTCTATTTTCCCCAGCTGGGAAAGCAAACACTGTCTTCTCTGCCTCGCCTCCATAAAGGTGTGTCCAAAAAACAAGCTGGAAGAGTGGGAAAAATCCCATGCTTAAAGGTAACCCTCACTCTTGTAAGGATTCTGCTGTTGTCAGCTCAGATTGTATGTAATCAGAGGCAGAAACAAGATTGGTTTTAATTAAACTCAAGTTCTTAGCTTGGCCTTGATCTTTTCTACCAAAAAGGCAAACAAGATTGTATTAGTTGACACTTTATACTTTGTCACTGTTATTTACTGACTTATTCCTTTGCAATTTTTCTGCCCCTAAATTTGTTTACTGTTGTGCCAACCTCATCTTGAAATTTGTTCACCATTCTTGAGTGAGAAAAGAGATTAAATGAACTCCCTCCATGTGAAAAGGTGGGGTGACGATGAGCTGGAAGTGCAGTGGCAGCAGATACATGGAAATACCACTCTACCTGCAAATTCCCCTCCAAGTCAGTTGCCATCTTGATTTAAAAATCAACAACCATTCTGGCAATTGGGTTCATCCTGGAACTCCCTCTCTATTGTCATTGTAGGTCTATCTATAGAACATTGACTGTAATTTAAGGAGACAACAAGGTGCAGAGCTGGATGAACACAGCAGGCCAAGCAGCATCAGAGGAGCAGAAAGGCTGACGTTTCGGGCCTGGACCCTTCATCAGAAATGGGGGAGGGGAAGGGGATTCTGAAATAAATAGGGAGAGAGGCGGAGGCAGATAGAAGATGGATAGAGGAGAGGATAGGTCGAAGAGGCGGGGATGGAGCCAGTAAAGGTGAGTGTAGGTAGGGAGGGGATAGGTCAGTCCAGGCGGGACGGACAGGTCAAGGGGGCGGGATGAGGTTAGTAGGTAGGAGATGGGGGTGCGGCTTGAGGTGGGGGGAGGAAGAACAGGTTAGGGAGGCGGGGACGAGCTGGACTGGTTTTGGGATGCGGTAGGGGGAGGGGAGATTTTGAAGCTTATGAAATCCACATTGATACCATTGGGCTGCAGGGTTCCCAAGCAGAATATGACTTGCTGTTCCTGCAACCTTCGGGTGGCATCATTGTGGCACTGCAGGAGGCCCAGGATGGACATGTCGTCTGAGGACTGGGAGGTGCAGTTGTTTATTGCGAACCGAGCGTAGGTGTTCTGCAAAGCAGTCCCCGATGTACAGGAGGCCACAACGGGTACAGCGGATGCAGTATACCACATTGGCAGATGTGCAGGTGAACATCTGCTTGATGTGGAAAGTCTTCTTGGGGCCTGGGATGGGGGTGAGGGAGGAGGTATAGGGGCAGGTGTAGCACTTCCTGCGGTTGCAGGGAAAAGTGCCGGGTGTGGTGGGGCTGGAGGGGAGTGTGGAGCGGACAAGGGAGTCACGGAGAGAGTGGTCCCTCCGGAAAGCAGATAAGGGTGGGGAGGGAAAGATGTCTTTGGTGGTGGGGTCGGATTGCAGATGGCGGAAGTGTCGGAGGATGATGCGTTGGATCCAGAGGTTGGTGGGGTGGTACGTGAGGACGAGGGGGATTTTTTTTTGGTTCTTATTGCGGGGACGGGGTGTGAGGGATGAGTTGCGGGAAATGTGGGAGACACGGTTGAGGGCGTTCTCGACCACTGAGTGGGGGGAAGTTGCGGTCCTTGAAAAACGAGGACAACTGAGATGTACGGGAGTGGAATGCCTCATCCTGGGAGCAGATGCAGCGGAGGCGAAGGAATTGGGAATAGGGGATGGCATTTTTGCAGGAAGGTGGGTGGGAGGAGGTGTATTCTAGGTACTGTGGGCGTCGGTGGGCTTGAAATGGATATCAGTTGCTAGGTGGTTGCCTGAGATGGAGACAGAGAGGTCCAGGAAGGAGAGAGAGGTATTAGAAATGGTCCAGGTGAACTTAAGGTTGGGGTGGAAGGTGTTGGTGAAGTGGATGAACTGTTCGAGCTCCTCCTGGGAGCACGAGGCGGCGCCGATACAGTCATCAATGTAACGGAGGAAGAGGTGGGGTTTAGGGCCAGTGTAGGTACGGAAGAGGGATTGTTCCACGTAACCGACAAAGAGGCAGGCGTAGCTTGGGCCCATGTGGGTACCCATGGCCACCCCCTTTGTCTGTGGGAAGTGGGAGGAATTGAAAGAGAAGTTGTTGAGGGTGAGGATGAGTTCGGCTAAGCGGATGAGGGTATCAGTGGAGGGGTACTGGTCAGGCCTGCAGGACAGGAAGAAGCGGAGGGCCTCTAGGCCATCTATATGGGGAATGCAGGTGTATAGGGACTGGACGTCCATGGTAAAGATGAGGTGTTGGGGACCAGGGAATTGGAAGTTCTGGAGGAGGTGGAAGGCGTGGGTGGTGTCACGGACATAAGTAGGGAGTTCCTGGACCAAGGGGGAGAAAATGGAGTCCAGATAGTTGGAGATAAATTCGGTGGGGCAGGAGCAGGCGGAGACAATGGGTCGACCAGGGCATTCAGGTTTGTGGATTTTGGGAAGGAGATAGAAGCGGGCGGTGCGGGGTTGGGGGACGATGAGGTTGGAGGCCGTGGGTGGGAGGTCACCTGAGGTGATGAGGTTGTGGATGGTTTGGGAGATGATGGTTTGGTGCTCGGGGGTGGGGTCATGATCAAGGGGGCGGTAGGAGGTGGTGTCGGAGAGTTGGCGCCTGGCCTCGGCGATGTAGAGGTCAGTGCGCCATACTACAGCTGTGCCTCCCTTGTCCGCGGGTTTTATGGTGAGGTTGGGATTGGAGCGGAGGGCTGCACGTTCTGCGGGGGAGAGGTTGGAGTGGGTGAGAGGGGTGGAGAGGTTGAGGCAATTGATGTCTCAACGGCAGTTGGAGATGAAGAGGTCAAGGGAGGGTAGGAGGCCTTGGGGTGGTGTCTAGGAGGAGGGGGTGCGTTGGAGGCGGGAGAAGGGGTCAGTAGAGGGAGGGTTAGGTTCACGGTTGAAGAAGTAAGCGTGGAGGCGGCGGAAAAACTGCTTTATATCCAAACGGGAGTGGTATTTGTTGATGTGTGGGTGGAGGGGGACAAAAGTAAGCCCTTTACTGAGGACTGACCATTCGTCCTCAGTAAGGGAGAGGTCTGGGGGGATGGTGAAGACTTGGCAGGGCTGGGTGGTACTGTCTCCTCTGGAGCTGCTGGCTGTGGGGGCAGTGGGCGGAGCAACGTCGGCTGTGGGCGGAGTTGCGTCGGCGTCAGCGGTGGGCGGAGTTGAGTCAGCGGAGTTGCGCCGGCGTTGGCGGCGGCAGCTGCGGTGATGGTAGGCGCGACTTCAGTGTCTGTAGTGTTGGTCTCGGAAATGGAGGCGGTGGCATCGGCAGCGATGGCGTTCGCTGTCCCGGAAGTGGGGTACCCGGCGGTGGCGGATGTGACATCATCTGTGGCTTCTCCGACAGTGGCCTCATGGCCAATGGCAGCGGGCACATTGTGGGGAAGGTCCTGGGTAGGGTTGGGGATTTGGGGGGGTGGAGGAAGCCCGTTTTGGGTGGTAGGCACCAGTAAGTTTACTGTACTTACGGTTTTTAGTGTCCAATAAAGCTGAGTAGAATTGTGAGTTCAGGTTGTTGATCCTACGAAGAATAAAAAACGGGAGAGGTCCTTTGCAGGTCTGGGAGAGGGAGGCTCTGAGCTGGGGTAGGCTTGATTGTAGTGCCTGGAGATGCCGGCGCATTGCTGCGAGCGTGTGTTTCAGGAGTCGCAGGGAGAAACGCTTCTGAAGGATCTCAATGCTATGAATGTAGATATTGTCACGGTTGGGGCCAAATTGGGAGGGCTTGAATGTGGACTGTAGTCCCTTGGGGATGATCTGGTTCCGTAGGCAGGTGCTAAGAAAGGTGATGTGGCTGCAGTACCTGGTTTGCTTCAGGACATGGTCGAGCAGTTTCAAGGCCGAAGAGATTACGAGAGAGTTGCAGTGGGAGAGAGATCCCCTGAGGTTTGTCCGGAGGGAGGAGAGTAACTTCTTCAGGCTAGGCATCCTTAGAAGAGGCTTCGCAGTGGGGTTAAAATTGAATCAGAGATAGTAGGAACTGCAGATGCTGGAGAATCCGAGACAACAAGGTGCAGAACTGGATGAACACAGCAGGCCAAGGAGCAGAAAGGCTGACGTTTCGGGCCTAGACCCTTCATCAGAAATGGGGGAGGGGAAGGGGGTTCTGAAATAAATAGGGAGAGAGGGGGAGGCGGATAGAAGACGGATAGAGGAGAGGATAGGTGGAGAGGAAACAGACAGGTCGAAGAGGCGGGGATGGAGCCAGTAAAGGTGAGTGTAGGTGGGGAGTTAGGGAGG